AATGCAGAATCATATTGGCATGAATAACTTACAATATAACCTCATGATATTATCATTGACTATGGCAGGTTGCACTATTGTCTTATTTTCTTTCTGGTTGTATGGTAGAAATCGTTCTGTTAAAATACTGATTTCTGTCAATAATCTACTCATCTGTTAATAGTGACTGATTATTTGGTTTCCATGAGAATCTCATTAAATCCATGTTTTGTTTTAAAAAAATAGGATTGACTATTAGAAACTTGGTTGGGGAGGGGCAAAGAAACTAAACAGGGAAAATAGAAAAAAAATGCACACACTTCATGGAAAAAAAAAAAAACTTTACTGTAGCAACATCATCATGAAAGTACATTATAGCTCAAAATTAAATGAAGAAATAAAATAATTTGACATTTTTTCTACCCACCCAGTGTTTCTAATGGCCAACCCTTATTATTGTTTTCCACACTACAGTATATGTGTGATTAACGTGTAGTCTTCAAATTATCAGAATTTTTTTAATTTAAGTACTGGTATACATTTTTTTTGTACTAAAAATTTGTACATAGTTTTACATACATCTACATCTTTGCAAAATTATTTAATTCTGATAAATTTCCCGAGGCCAATTTACATCAAGATGATAAAATCTGCATTGCACCAGCAACTACATATAAAACATGTAATATTTGTCTTCTTTTCCCTTATAGTTAAAAATTAAAGAACAGAACATGTTTATGAGAAACAGGTATCATTGTTCTAGTTTACTTGATACAAACTTTTATAATTTATAACTTTTGCTACTACCGGTATCATTTTTTTTGCCTGTAGCTTGAAAATAGCTTTAAATCTTGCTTCTTTCCTGTCTTTCATTTTTCTGTTTTTTAATGCATTACTAAATATTTACTAATTCTGTGACTCTTGCATGGGGACATTGAGTTGGGTTCTGTCTATTATCCGTCTGTCTGTTGTCATCGCTTACAAGTATATCAGAAATGGTTTCAATAAGGGGAATCTACTTCTGTGGTTGGCTTCATCGTATTTCTTAATCCAAAATAAATATTGTAGCAAAGAAAATTATTGTATACTAGAACAAGAAAATATGCCTTAGTTTTACTATAGACATGATTCTGTCATGAATGTTGGTGCATGTGTAATAGAGCAGATATTGTACTTACGAAATAATCATGATGCTGGTACGTGTTTTGTACCAGAAGAAAAAAAAGTTTATTTTAGGTGATAATTATGTTCTGAATACACAGTTAAAGTATTATGCATTTTTAATGTGTTCATATTATAGCATTGACAAAATTTCCTAGAGAAAGTCTATAATTAATTGACTCAGTATTGTTCAACAGTATGTGAATCTTTTTTATTCACAGTTACTGATAATCTTTTTTTAAGATAAACTGTCAATTAATATGCATAAATATGACCACAATGAAAATTCCTTTTGTCATTATAAACTCAATATAAATTTTTAAATTTTTTCCAGACATGAACAAGTTTATTATAAGACACAATATGTAATTTTTCCACCTTATGCCATTGATCCAAATTTTGAGATACTGAAATACATGTATATCCTTACTGTAGGAATCAATGGTTAAAATGCTCCAAAACACAAAACATTTTATTTTCGCTTCATTTTGTACATTGATTTTCTCAGAACCGAGTACAGCAACCCCACATTTTTATTTCATTTTTTTATCCATGTAGCATGAAATGTCATATTTATATAAAAAATTTTAAAAAAATTGTCGGCGCTGTGAATGGTCAGTTTAGGTACACTGTTTTGGGTGTGTTTAGCTTGGGAACGAGCTCCTTCTAAAGTCCAATGTGTTTCTTGAAAAACCATTAATAAACTAAGCCACAACAAAATGTTGCAAAGCAGTAGTTTATAAATATATAAAATATAAGGAATTTAGTTATCAGCCCCAAAATGATGCAAGCATCATGTGTATTATGAAAAACTATAATTGCTCAGTTACAATATAATTACCAGTAGTAAGCCTCTATTGTAAAAGGGACTTCGCAAATTAGTAAATATCTGTTTATCACATCAGAAGAGGGCAAAGATTAAATGTGGAAGATCTGTTCTCAGTGTTTACTTAGTCTTCTATGTGATACTAGTAATATGTTCATAGGGCTTTCATGTTGAACTTTTTTTATTGATTAGTTCTAATGCAGATGGTGGCTACTTTTAGTTGACAACATAATTCTCTTTCTCACAATTTGCTTTTGTGTATTTCCTACCTATTGCATTGTCTTATTACACAGATATGATTTGATAATTATTTTATCACTTTAAATTTATCCATTACTGTTCACTTTTATTCAATTTTACAGTTTTGATATTTTGAGTATTTTCAAGTTTTATTGAATTTTACAAATTAATGAGAATTTGAGCAGAATTAAAATTAAATCTCAGTGAATAAAAAATGCATTTACAGTATTACCTGTAGATGATGTTATCTCTATTTTAGCCTTCATTAGTTCTGTGTGTGGGTGTTAGTTTCATAGTGCTTAAGGAAGTAAAGAATAACAATCTGCCAAAATTAAAACCGAACAACCAAGAATTGCTTTTTTGGAGTGGGACTTTACTGGTATAATTAAATCTAATCCACACATTGTGATTTGTTGATCAGGAACACACAAAACATCAAAGAAACCAGAGAGCTTTCATGTTTGACTTCTTGCCAAAAACGTCACAACATTCAAAGCCAAGGTATGTAGGGTGATGGTTTACATTGATTATTCAACACAGTTTTCTTGGTTCTTTGTCTTTCATCGTTAGATATCAACATAGATCACAAGCTATTCACCCTGACCACCAACAACGTGTTAATAATGCAAGGCTACAGCTTGGTATAAATGAGGATAATGGTGATGCCAATCACCAAGGTGCTACTCGTAATGGGTTGCCAGGGCAACAGAGAAGATATGCCGTGGATCTCCAATGCCCGGTTTGTTTACAAGATGCCCAGTATCCAACGGAAACCAACTGTGGGCATGTCTTCTGTGGTAAGTCTTCTTCTCAACATGACACTTATCATCAATTTTAGCAACCCTCTTTTAACAAGCAAGTTATGCTCTGGTGATTTTTGTTGCCATGGTAATGTGATTTCACCGATAAGGAGGAGCTTTACAACTGATGGAAAAGATGCTTTATTATGTGAACTTTTGTCTAACTAATGAGTATCGAGTTGAAGCACCATCAGTTGGTTTCCATGAGAGAATAGTGGGTTGATTTCTAGTTTGATAGTTTCCCTGGTTCTTTGCGTTCTGATGAGCTATCAAATGTTTATGTGGTGAAATCAACCTCCCTATACAGATGAAATTGAAAACTTTAGAGGACAATAATTTTAAATTCAGAAAGTGGTGATGTTTGTTTTCACAGTGTTTCTTTTTCACCTAGCTAACTGCAATGTAAAATCCCAAGTGTTAATTCAGAGTAACTAATAGAATTTCATATTTTGTAATTTTTTTCTCAGCTAATTGTATAATAACTTACTGGAGGCATGGATCATGGCTTGGTGCTGTTCATTGTCCTGTATGTAGACAACAGGTGAGAAATACACTATATCCACACCTGGTAGCTTCAGTTCATGAGCTACTGCTCTGAGTGCATTGAAAATCCACATAATTTGGCAAAAGAAATTGCTCTTCAGATGGTTAACACAGAATACATATTTTTTGGGGGGAGGGGGAGAATTGATTTCATATTAATCCTATGAACACAGAAGTATAGATCTCGCGAGAGGAAGAGTGTACTACTTGTACAGGTCTTCCAGAACATGCAGTTAGAAGTCAGTGCACAGCTACTTACAAAATTATACCTGATTGGCTATCTAACCTCAACACATAACAGTCGGACCAATCAGAGAACAGCTTGTTTGTTGCAATTTCTTTTGATGTATCAAATTTTGCTTTGTGTACATGCTTAGACTTAACTGTATTTTAGGACAACACATAAAATTATGACATTTTGTTATCTATATGTAGATTACGAACATCTGTTGGGTAATGTAGTCAAGGAAATGTATAAACCTTTGAAAACAATAGCAGGAAGTCTGTTCACAAATGATTGTGTATGATTCATGAAATCCACACTGTAAACACTCGATATAAATGTAGCAATCTGAGAACACAATTATAAATTGATTTCTAAACCAGTTTAGAGTGGATAAAAATGTCAATCTTAAAACGTTGCATTTGCATCACAGCATGTTTCATGGTGATGTAGAATGCTTGCAAAATATTCATTGAGTCATTGACAAGTGTGGCATTTTAGAATAAACTACTGTAAAATACTTTATTGTAGCTTCAAATAAATTTTCGCTGAAGGAATGGTTCAGTGAAAATAAAATCCAACAAATGTACCTATTTTCCTATATTTTACATTCAACTTGTCAAAAATCAATGAAAATAAATTCCAAACAAAATACTCCAATAGTCTTTTCAACAAAATTAATTCCAGTTAAAATAAAGTATTTTACAGTATTACCCGGTAATTTATAAATCCATAAATAAACTAATATGGTGGATTTCTGTAATTTTCTTGTGTACAGGTAACAATACTTTTGGCAGATTTTTCACCAGAAGAACGACAGTCTGAAGAAGGGAGAGCAAAAATGAGAGATTTACATGATTACAACAGACGATTTTCAGGAGAGCCTAGACCTGTAAGTAAGGGGGGAGGGAGGGAGAAAGGGGGTTCACAACATGTGAAATTTGCATGCAGTTGTCATTGCATTACAAACAATACAGGAAGTGTGGCCTATATTACCGGTACCTATTAATTTACTGATGGTAATCTTTATTCCAGTCACTCGCACAAGGCCAAAATTGATATATGTATACCGGTAATTGTCTATTGAGGCAGTTGCCCTCAATGCCCCATGAAGCTCAAGCCATGTGCATTTGTTTTGAATGACTTATTTAAAATTCAACAGTTACTGCACTGTGAGCTTTCAAATTTCATGTAAAATAAATGTATTTTGACATGTCTTGTATATGTCATATAAGATGACTGACGTTCTAATTAATAAGCATGATAATTCGTTATTTACAGAAACAAATTCTCTTTTTGACTCCTGTGTGTTAACCTTCTAATGGGGGTCTTTGCGGTTACCCTGTCTGTGTGTCTGTGTGTCTGTGTGTCTGTATGTATGTATGTATGTATGTATGTATGTCTGTCTTCTCCACTGATATCTCAGGAACCGTTCATCAAATTTCAATGAAACTTGGTACAATGATGCTCTAAGATAATGTACTAACCTGACTTGTTCTTTAATTGAAATCCATGCATAATAATTTTCTAAGATATCTCAACAGCCGCTCAACAGATTCAAAAAAAACTTAGTACAAAGATAATCATTGATATATTGATATGTTATTAATTTGTGGTTGAAAATATGTGAATATTATTGATATCTCATAAACTGCTTATCAGATTTCATAGTCCACAGACCTGATTACTTTATGGTTGAAATCCATGTATACATGGATTAATTTGCAATTTGTATAAGTAAGTAATATTCTTAAAAAATACATCAGATTTTAATCAAACCTGATGCATATGTGCTTTAGGGCAATCTAAAAATGTGACATCTTAGCATGAAACCATACAATGGCGATCAGCTATTTTGAGATCAGGGAACAAAAAGAAGTTCATTAGCATTCTTACTGAATGTCTTCAATTCACAACAACGGACCATGCAGCTATGCATGCATTTAGATAGAAACGTTCTAAACAATTTGTATTTGCTGTATAGAAGATATGAACATGTAGCTGGAGAGAGACAATTCCCACTTTAAAAAAGCAACTATATATAGAATTACGTTTCGTACTATTTAGTGATGGCTTGCGTAATCATTTAATTGAAATGTAACATTGTATTAAAATACGTTTTTTCTACTAAAGTTTTTCTATTAAAATAATCAAGTCTTCAAGACCTCATTTATTCTGGTTCATTCTGTAAAGAAAAGTACCAGGGTACATGTGTTTGGCATCAATCATTGTCACAGATGCATAATCAAATCCATTTTGGTTTAAATATTTCTAAAGTTTTTCATTAGTATTATAAATACTGTGATCAGATTGTTTTCACATTGTGTATCGAAGCAGAACTATATTAGTCAATATGCTTCAAAGGTTAATCTTAAATTAAAGGTAACAGTTAATATCTTTTATATCTTTTATCCTTCTCTTATAGTTTATGGATTATATCCGTGATCTACCAACATTATTACGTCATGCATGGGGCGAATTTTTCTCATTGGGTGGACTTGTTTGGATGTTTAGATTACGTATACTTCTCTGCTTTCTGGCGGCCCTGCTTTACTTCATCTCACCGTTGGACATCATTCCGGAAGCTGTGTTTGGCGTGTTGGGTTTCATGGATGATTTGTTTGTTCTACTTCTACTTTTGATTTATGTATCCATTATTTATAGAAATATTGTTACAAATCGTGCACAGAATGCGTAACGTGGTTCAATATTGAAATTGGAAGTTTTTCAATCTACAAGGGCTACTGACTAAGATGCATTGTAGACAGGGAAGTCAGGGAATTGAATGTTAGTCGCATATATTTGTTGACAAAGTAAGCACAAATTCAGGACATGTGCTATAATAGCAGGTATTACGTAAGGCCAGGAGAAGAGAGTCAGCATGCGTGCCAACAACAAAAAAAGTCTTATATCAGCGCCCTCTGTTGATGAATTTATTAAACCTACAAAATCTGTGCGCCGTCAAATATTATATCAACGACAAAAAAATAACCACCTCATTTTTTGAAACAAATTTTTTACCAGAAACTTTTTTTCAATGTTCAATAATTTACTATGTACATTGCCTAATCTGAGTGCTATGGTGTGAGTAATAACATAAACTGTAATCATACATTCCCACTCTGCTTAGTATTATTTGTGGAAAAAACCTGTATAGTTGTATTTTCTTGTAAGCAACCTTTTTAAAGCATTTTTCTCACCCATTTTCTAAATCACTAAATTCTATATTCTTGGAATATCAGGAAAAACACAGGAAAGATCACCAGGGATAAATGTACATTTGTATGTCACTTTTGATCTCAAGATTTCTTCCAGTTACAAAAAGTTATATATATCTTGTACATGTCTTATAATACCCAAATAAAACTATAAATAGTCGCAGAGTGCAATTTTAGTCTAGCAAGTCTATGAAAAATGATTTTTTTCAGATGGATTTACTTGTTTAAGTTAGCACAGGTTGCCAGTTTTCACAGGGATGCTTTGGGCAGATTTCTCGTTTGAACAGGGTTCAATGTCAACGAGTTTTATTGTAAATCACTATACATGTTTAACAATTTGATGATCTTAAGGGAGTTAATGAGGACTGAATTTTACATTTTTTTCTCTCTCACAAATATTAAATCATTTTACAGTATATTATTACAGTCTCCGCCAAGTTTGAAAAGTGCAGGTCAGACATGCATGACTAATAAAATACAGCATGTTGATTGTTTTAATAATGATACATGCCAAATAATGGAGTAAAGTTTTTTGAAGCGGCACGATGCTAAATATCTTCTAATAGTGATCATGAATAGGTGCTATACTACAACACGCGTATATACAAGTGATATTAAAATGTGGTTAATTTACAGATATTTACAATATGGGTGACACCATGAATCCAGTCCAGTTCAGATCTAGTTTTGTTAGATTTGGGCTGGTTTCAAGATGAGGTCTCTTATTAATAATGGTAAATAATTTTATGATCACTTGTACAGCAGCGTACTGCAGAGCAAACCTAGAAACAATGTAGCTTTAATCTAGGTTTCAATATGTGATGTACCAAGAGTTATGAACATATTTACTTGAATTATTATTTGCCTTTATTAAAGGGTTCATGGATAATGAAAATGTGCACATGGTAAACATAATCTCTTCGACCACTCACTCCCCGCCTCCAAAGGAAGACATTACATTTGCTGTGCACGTATAATTATCTGTGGTCCCTAACGCGACTAAGGCCATCGGCTATTTTGAGATCAGGGAACCAGAAGACACTCATTAGCATTCTTACTGAATGTCTTCAATTCACAACAACGGACCATGCAGCTATGCATGCATTTAGATAGAAACGTTCTAAACAATTTGTATTTGCTGTATAGAAGATATGAACATGTAGCTGGAGAGAGACAATTCCCGCTTTAAAAAAGCAACTATATATAGAACTACATTTCGTGGTATTTAGTGATGGCTTGCGTAATCATATTAATTGAAATATATCATTGTATTAAAATACATTTTTCTACTAAAGTTTTTCTATTAAGATAATCAAGTCTTCAAGACCTCATTTATCCTGGTTCATTCTGTAAAGAAAAGTACCAGGGTACATGTGTTTGGCATCAACCATTATCTAAGCTTAGTAGGGGTTATAGCATGATAAAAGGTGTTTCATACTGAGTAGGTTTTGCTTGAAAGGTTTATTTGAGATTATCAGATCAGTTTTGATGCAGCTTCTACATGTACATTGTAGTTATTTTGCCTTAGTTGCATTCAGTTTGAGATAATTTATTTTTTCTGTCATTTCTGTTGATCACCTTATGCCCATCATTTTTGATGACATGTTTTTTTTATAAATTCTTTGGTGATATACTTTATTTTGAATAAACTAAATTTTATCAACTACATGTACTGTTTCATGCTGCTTTGCCTAGAAGTTATAGCAGCTGGCTACTTCATGCGTGTACAGTAGTAGTCAATTACTGGGGTAATAAAGAATACAAATAGAGTACTGTAAAATACTTAATTTTCGATTGGAATTAATTTAAAGTCTTCTCAGCTAAAATAAAGTATTTTACAGTATTCAGCCAAGTGCAATTTTTTTCAGTGATTCATGTACACTGAAAAATCAGTTGTGTGAACCAGACTACATGCAGAACATTTTGAACAAGTCATGATATAGTCCCTGTCTGTTTTTTGATTAAAATTAATATAGATTCATATTTACATGTGTGCATAGTAATTGACATTGTTTTGTTATTACATATTCATGAACATGTTCTGAATTTGTATATTTCTTGTTTAAAGATGACTACCGGGGTAAATCTTACCAAAATATTGTGACATAACACAAGGCATTTCATTGAAATCTGTCGTGTGATTGGGACTGTAGAAAAATTAAGATGTACACTATTATAAGAATTGACACATGAAATTATCAGTGATAGGCTTCGCCTTTCAGGATGGCAAGTTGTCTTGTACTGTAATCCCCAAGGTTAGATTGACAAAACTTGATTTCAATAGATGGCGCCCTCTGGAGACCTTGATGCAACCCTTAACTATCTCCTGTGTACGCAATGGGAGTCCTTGCAGTTACCATGTATGTGTGTCTGTTCAGCAGATATCTCAAGAACCACTGGTCAGATTTCAATGAAACTTGGTACATAGGGGCCTGGTGCCAATGCATTCACCTGATAAGTTTTGGATTGAAATATGTGCATTTTAATTACTTAATTTGCATAATAGTACATTTTTGCCATTTTCACTGATATCTCAAAAACTACTCATCCGATTTCATTGAAACTTGGTACCTAGATGCTCTGGGGTATCGTAATTCAAAGACATGATTAGTTTCATGTTGAAGAAAATGCATGTTATCTAATTTTCATTAGCAAATTTATGATATCTCAAAAAATCAGATTAAAATTTAACTTGTAGTAGAGGTGCACTGGATAAATCAGATTGCAAACCATTGAAAGGTAAATATCTTGAATTAATTTTAAATGAACCTCCAATACGCTTCTACATAGTTTTTATTGATTTAATGTGCAATGTCGGCATATAGCGTATATGCTATGCTTAGTGTCCACATTTGGATGATAGCCATTTCAAATTGGCACCAATGACAAAGGAAATGTTCTTTTAATAAAAATTGTCACAGCAGATCGTGAGCTAGTGCCTATCAGTGAACAAAATTTGTTATCGGACATTCGCATACCAGTTGGCAAAACTGAAAATGCGTCAGTGCAACAGCCTATAGGAGTGTGTCATTACTGTTGAATACATCTCTACAACAGCTTTCATTAAAATGGCAAGTAGTCATTCATTTTAAATATGATCTAAAAACCAAATGACACTCACCAAAGAACATTGAATGTACGCGTCAAGGAAATTTCAACATTTTTCTATGCATGATCAAAATCTGGTTCATTTTATCACGGAGGATAAGATATTGATGTTGTATTTCAGAATTATAGATTTCTTGTATTTTATTTTTTTAAGACAACGGAAAATCTTAGAAACATGCAGTAATGGAGAGATCATTTCATAGCCCATAGAGGGGCAAAAACAAATGCTCCTCTCACAAGATCTTTGCTGTCTTTTGCATCCAGGGTCAACTCCAATTGGTTTTCTAATTTTGAGGTACACATAGCCAAGATCAACTGGATCTACATTTTAGGCAATGCAAGTTTTTGAAGTTAGTGCATCTGTGTGCATGTGCCACTGATGTCTCAAGAACCAGATAATGCTCAGGCCTGATTAGTTATTGGTTGAAATTTGTGCATATTAATTAAGCCTTTTCTGAAGAACTATTCAATAGATTACAAAACTTGATACATTGATGCTCTGGGATAATGCGACTTAAGTAATGCTCGATTGAAATCAATGCAAGATGACTAATGTTTCAGACAACTATATATGGTCATGTCATGTGACCACAATAATATGCACCACTGTAAAACTTTAAATACTGTTGCAGATAGGAACGTGCAACTCGTTCAATAATTTTGTCTGACAAGATGCATGACCAAAATATCAAGTCATCATATATGGTCATTTCATTGGATATTTATAATTGTTAAACCATAGCTACTTGGAACCTGATCATTGCCTTGTTATATAAATGCTGTATTTGCTCTAATAGAAGCACATGTGCTACCTGTAAAAATATAGTAAATACGGTATTCCTTATTTGTACTTCATGCCTCCAAAATCTGCAGCACACGAGTTCTTTCCAGGCCCTTAGATTATAATTTTACATTAATTATTCTAATTCGTACACTCTCCACTTTATACATAGCTTTTTGATAATACATGTAGCTATTTTTAATGAAACAAGTCCAGCAAGTTGGTTTATGCAATAGGGAACCATTGACACAGGAATTCCCACCAAGCCCCAAGCTTGATTCTAAAACTAGTTTAGTCAAACGTAGTGATGAGCTGAAAAGAAATACCCAATACATTCATGTGTAATGATGAGCAACTAGTTTCATTTCTTACTCTTGTCACAATGGACGGTACAACAAATCAGCAATATACCAACTAATTGGCTTAAGATGCAGCTAAATTTGGGACATGTCATTGTGCCAGGGAGATGTAAACAAGTAGGTAGAAATTCCATTACTGAATTTCTGTGTAAAATGATGATTCAATGTGAAGAAAAACAAATCTTGATACCGGGTACTGCAATGAGGGCAACTTCAAGCCCTATTGTTTACCCACTAGCATCTCCCGTTAAGTAAATTAATATCAAATACCAGAGATGAAATAAATGGAAGGATTGTGAATGTGGGCCTCAGAATATGTAAATAGGGTGACACAAAAAAAAATCTTGTGTTCCAATGCACGACTATCATTAGCCAACTGACTGGCATTATACCATCCACCAAACACTACTAATCTAAACAAGCGACCCAACGGTCGAAATAGCTCCACTGTCTTCATTATCATGAAACAAGAATTGGTAAAATGGCATTGTGGTCAACTGTTTCGAACTAGTTGTTGAAAATAACAAAAATATTCACTAAAAATCCAAATTTGCATATTTTGACACAAATCTGACAGAGGACCACCCCACGCATCTTTGCTGCAAATATGAAAGCAATTGGACTTGCAGTTTAGAACTAGTTGCCGAAAATAACATTTTTTACCAAAAATATTCACTTAAAATCCAAATTTGCATATTTTGACACGAATTTAACAAATCTGACAGAGGACCACCCCAAGTACCTGTGGTACAAATATGAATGTAATTGGTCAAGTACTTTTGAAGAAGTCGTTTAAAGAAAAACTTCATGCGGGATGCGGGACGCGCGACACCGGAGAGACCCCCATACCAACAGCTCCGCAATAACATCTGCAATGACAGCGGACTAAAAAACCGGGCTGTAATACCGGAGCCCTACCAATAAATGTAAAAAAAGTCTCTCAAAGTGGAAGATTGCACTCCAGTAATCATGTTCATGGAATAACCTTCATCTGAAATTAGGATTTTCAGGACTCTCTTCAGGTGTTCTAGTCTTGCTTGGCTGTTATTACCACAACACCATAAATGAGAGGGAATCATGTTAGCTCCAGGCTGAGCAAACTTCACTTCAGACAAACTTGCAATAAATAAATGTAAAACGTGGACAACTGGTTGGTGTCATCTGGAAGGGATTTTCTTTATTGTGAAACTAATGTCACGAATTGAAATGTTGCCAGACTTCAATACAATGTCTGTAAAAACTAGAAATTCTAATCATTCCTACAAAATCAAATAATTTACAGAAACTTTAAGATCTTTAATATAATTAGTTAATTAAGATGACTTTTATAGAAAAGGACAATACAAGCCGACATTGCTACAAAGTCAATTTTAATATTGTTTCAATCGACAAAATCTTCTCAATAACATGAAAAAAATGCTACTTCCAAATGTACACCCAGTTTTGATAAACATCCCAAATATTTGTTTTTCATTTTTATTCAATCACTTTTTGAAATTTAATTTTCATACTTTGGTTGAACAAAACACTAAGACATTTTTTTACAGAAGAAAACCTGTGGAAACATTAAAATTTTATGACATTTCATTAAATAATCTTGGGGAATTCCATACTGTTGAACTGAACAAGCGATCTATAAAAATAATCACAAGTACAGGAAACAAACAAGTATTTATCAAATGACACAGGAAACTTCAGTACTTGTTACCGGTATCACAAATTGACAGCTGCTTAAGAAGATTACCAAGACAACAATGCACACACATGTCAATTTGTATCTTTAACCACTGTGCTTATAACTTACCCTTTTAGTTAAATCTAAACTACAAAACATCTGCAGGAAATTTGCAAAAATATATTTAATGATCCATTGACTTAGCAAGAATTGTCTTTAAACAAAAGCAAGAACTTTTAAAAAAAAATAACGAAAACAGTAAATGTGTGTATTGGTTTGGTTTAAATCAATGATTTCAAGTGCCTCTCGTTTGGGAACTTGCATGTAGATTTGCAACCACTGACTGGAGGGGGAGGGGCATTTCATGTGAGGAATTAATTTGAATGCAAGGCATTGTTTTTACACAAGTGGCTGGAAGAAGCCCATAACAGTGAGGTTTATAAAATTGTTTTCAAGCTGTCAAGTGAAACATAAACAATTTATACCTGGGTCTGATATAACAATAATTTAGAGAGAAGGTACAGCAAAAATTTGTTTTTAATTGTACAAGTCATCATCACCATTATCCGCATAGAGATTAGGGTCATTGCCACCAGCTGATCCACCCTGTCCACCTCCTTGGCCACTTTGTTGAGAGTCTGGGAACCTACAATAAAACACATTATTTATATCATTATCTAATAACATGGGAACAAAAGTACATAATGTACATGCAAAAAAAATACAAATACATATTTGAGGTACAAGATTTTGTTGCGTTACCTCTTTGCTTTATTTTTCTCAGTAAGTGGATAATCAAGTAAACATTCGAGTCAAAGAAGTTTTTGAATAAATTTTCTCAGTATCAAATTCGCTTAAGCTTCACACAAGTTTAATGAAAGTTACCTGAAACCACCACCGAGTCCTCGGCTCTGTTGTAGTGTCTGTGCAAACATTTCATATTTTCTGATATCGTTATCAGTGACTGATCGCCTGGCATACTTCATAGCCTCTTCAAAATGATCACGTCTGATTTCTGATACAGGGTCTTCCTCTTCAACTTCCTGTGAATAGAAAGAAAGAAGGAGGAGTTAGAAAAAAAATTTCAATGCATAATAATCTTAGTGTCTCAAATTCCATCAATAAGTACAATCCACATACCATATCAAGATCCGGATTTTGTGCTCTCTCCCTCTCTCGACGAATTTCATGTTCAATGTTTTCACGAATTGCCAATTTACAGGCCCGCTGACAGATTTCTGTCAAATCAGCACCACTAAAACCATGAGCCACTTTAGCCAGGTATATAATGTCTACATCCTTGGCGACAGGGGATTTCCTCAGGTTGGCTTTCAGGATAGATTCTCGTGACTTCTCGTCTGGTAGTGGGATGTAAATAAGTTGATCAAGACGACCAGGACGTAAAATAGCAGGATCAATAATATCAGGTCTGTTAAGAGAAATATAATTACATTTTATTTAATGTATTCTGTACAGATGGCTACTGTCTGAATCTTGATTATATTATGATGTATGGGTAAAACTGCTTGGTAGCCACACTTGTTGCAGGGCAGTAAAGTTTGCATCAGACGTGTATAACATCAGTGTAATCAGGATTACGTCCCATGTTTGTCATCATATGCGTATGATATACTACTACCGAAATAATAAGGAAGTCCCATCTTCAAGCAATTTACAAGTTTTCAAACTAATGTATTTTCTTTATTTCCACTGACATACTGCCAGCATCATTATGCACTTACCACAAATAAGTACCGATACTAACTGTTGCAATGCTTACTGGCCAAAATCAGGATCAATTATAACCAAGATGTCACCAGTGAAAACTAGACATCTTGTTATTGAGATTGTTATTAATTCAATGGATGGACGAATGTCAATTACACTTGACAGTGAAAGAAGCCACCCAAAAAAAAGATGTCCATCTCCCCATAGCTGGCGACTCACCGGTTAGTGGCTCCAATAATGAACACATTTTTCTTATTACTCATACCATCCATTTCTGTCAGTATTTGGTTGATAACACGATCAGATGCACCACCACCATCTCCGACATTACCTCCACGTGATTTAGCAATTGAATCCAATTCATCAAAGAATAGTACACAAGGTGCTGCTTGTCGAGCCTATAACACATAATAAAGTTTGGTCAACAAGGTTTCAACAAGACTGCACTTATGTTAGGAAGTTCAGATATTTCTACAATATTAAACTTGCACCTATCAAGTCTTACACCCCTCAAACGTATGAAAATTGATTATCCTAATGTACAATTATCAAAACTACACAACAAGGTCTCATTTTTAATTCAAGTATACATCATGTGATCAATTTTCCAAAACAAACACTGATACCAATCTGGTTATAACTTGATGCAAGTATATGCTCTAGTTGTGTTTACTGTCAATGAAAAAAACAGCCCAACCAGTAATATTTCAATATAGCTCACTGTTTTGTGAACAAAATAGAAATATTGATAGTTTAAATGCAACGATCTATAATGGCTATACTGCAATACTACTGTCAGGCTGCTTCAGAGATCTCATTGAGCAGAATACAAAAACCTCCAAATTTCTCCAGCTCGAATCATTCAAACAGACTCTGTAGAAAATAAATGTCTTTTTTACCTTATCAAACACATCTCTGACATTAGCTTCTGATTCACCAAACCACATAGTGAGAAGTTCAGGTCCCTTGATGGAAATAAAGTTGGCTTGACATTCATTGGCAATAGCTTTAGCTAATAAAGTTTTACCACATCCTGGAGGACCATAGAACAGCACACCTCTGCTTGGAGTCATGCCAAATTTCAAGTATTTATCTGGATGCTCTACTGGATACTGTACTAATTCTTGGAGTTCTCTTTTCACATTGTCCAAACCACCAATGTCTTCCCATGACACATTTGGGACTTCAACAACAGTTTCACGAAGAGCACTTGGACTGCTCTTAGATAAAGCAAACTGCGGATAAAAAAAAACAAAAAAACTCATCAGCAACCTTTCAATTGTGCATTTTCTTAATAAGAAATCTGTACCAAGTTATAACCATATTTGCTATGTTTGAAGCATATTCACTTGAGTGTAAAAAGCTTAGCATAGGTGTTTGTTGCAAATTCTAATTGAGCAAATACAGTAATATTTGATTTATTTTCTTGTTCTTACCCTAAAGTTGTCCATAGTAACAGCTAATGAATCCATGACTTCAGCATCTATTGTTTCATCTTCTAAATCAATCAAATCCATCTTTTCACGAATCTGTTGTAGAGCAGCTTCTGAACACAGAGCAGCTAAATCAGCACCAACATGTCCATGAGTCTCATTTCCAACCTATAACAAAACAGTTATATTATTATACTGTAAACAGCTTTCAGTGTTGTGTTATGAATATCCATGATTTGCTAATTTTGAAGACAACGTTTTTCAAATGCTACAAAGTTTTATCAATTTCACAGGATTGCAAAATTTGGAAAAACTTTTTTACCATTTTCACAACAAAGCTAAGTATTTCAGTGGATATTTCTCCATATTAAACATGATCTCAAGTCTCAAGAGAAAAAAAGTTGAGTTATTAAATTTAAACTATTTTGGTAAATTATAAATAATGACTTGTTGAAACACCACACTAAATTTGCATCAGACGTGTTTAACATCATTGTAATCAGGATTACGTCCCAAGTTTGTCATCATATGAAAATTTATATATAGAGAGAGAATTTCCAACATTAACAGTTAGT